ATCTTCACACCCATCTACCCGCCTGCCGTTGTTAGTGGAGGTGCTGGCCAGCTGGATGTCCCTGCAGCCGGCACATGCATTCTCAAGCCTGGCTGCACCCTGGCAACATCTGGGGAGCCTGGAGAGGTTCCGCTGCCCAGGTCCTGGGTGAGTCCCCACCCAGAGCTCAGCTTCATCTGCCTCAAGTGCAGCCTGACACTGGGGGTTTTCAAGCTGTTGGACAGAGATGCTGAGCAGCAGGGTGAGATGGTGTAGACGGAACATCTGTGTGCCACCTGCGCCTGAGCCCCGACCTTGTCCCCAGGGACTCTGATCTGCTTGCTCTGGGCTGGAGGCCCTGGCATGAGGACTCTGAATGTAGCAGGGGATTCAGCTGCCAGTGTGGAGGCACCTGGGGACCCAGCCCAGAAGCGAACTCAGCCACTGGGAGCTGTATGGTGCTAAACTCTAACTGCCTGGGTTCTAGTGCCATCTATAAAATCATGGTGCCACAGGCAGGGCCTAAGTCCTCTGTCACCATCAGGGGTCCTGTGTATGAAAGGGCTGCAGAGAGCCTGGTGACACCGGCCCAGAACCCTCCCGGTGCCCACTCAGCATGCAGACTCATCTCCAACCTGCAGAGGAGCAGGGTCCAGGGAGCACCGCACTGCCCACCCCACACCTGCCCGGGCCCCCATAGGCATGGCCTGTTGGCAGCACCCTCATTGCCTGGGGTCTGATTAGAAACGTACCCGCGCTGCCATCCTCCCATTCAGCACCACCAAATGCATGGCAACCTAGGGACTCTACGTAGCATTTCTGTCTGTTTATGCTGAGGTTTGAACCCAGGGCCTTCGTACTGAGCTGCATCCCCCGCCCTTTTTATTTTTTACTTTGAGCCAGTCTCACAGAGTTGCTAAGTTGCTCAGGCAGGGCTCTAATCTGTGATCCTCTTGCCTGGGCCTCCCAGAGTGTTTACTTATGTACTTATTTTAGGGGTACTGGGGATGGATCCCAAGACCTTGAGCATGCTACGCAGGCACGCTAGCACTGAGCCGCACTCCCAGCCCTGGTCTGCTCTTTTCTCAGGCACAGCAAATATTCAGTTGCAGGGCACAGATCAGGAGCAAGCTAAGCCACTAAGTGACTACCTGGGGCCCCGCCCACCTAATGACATCACCAAGCCGAGCCCCCAAGCCTCTCCTGCGCTGCCCAGGCCTTGGACTTCGCTGTTAATTTGAGAAGGCTGCTGACTCCGTGAATGCATGTCAGAGATGAGCTTTTTTCTCTCTGATCAGCTGGATATTGATGGGGGGGGGATCCTTGCCGGAATATCAGCCTGTGGCATCCAGACCGGAAGAAGGGAAAGGATTGCCCAGTGCCGCAACCTGATTATGCTTCCTTCCGCCATTTGTAATGCGCACCTCCTGCGTGCCACCCCCTGCTAGGGAAATGGTTCAAACGCAGCTCAAGGCAGTAGCCCAGCCCGTAGCACTGTCTCTCCACTTACAAGCTGTGTGATCTTGACTCAGCCTGTTCGTGTGTGGCCAAGGGTCCATAGCGCAGAGCTGAGCACACAGGAGGAGCTCGGTATGTGCCAGTCCTTAGGTCCCGAAAGACAACAGTTAGGCACAGCAGCCGAACACATCCTCACAGCGACCTGGAAAGGGCCGCGACTGAATCCACAGGTGTGGTATGCACCGCTCTGCCGCGTGGTCGTATGACTTCAGAGGACACAGAGCAGAACGGGGTCCCCGGCTCTCAGAAAGCATCTCAGAACAGCGCTTCTCGGAGGGGGACCTAGCCTGTGTCACTGTCGAGGCGTTGAGTACTGGACAGCACTGAAAAGGAACGCAGAGGCCTCAGACAGATGTGGGCACAACGCTGAGAGGGGCCACGGCAGGGACAGCCACGAAGGCAGCTGGCCCTGGCTGGAGATGCCTGGACAGGCTCAGATGCTGACCTGGTTTACCTGGTGCTCGCGTCATGGCTGGGTGGAGCTTCAGGTGTGGCAACCCTGAGACAGTGGCTGGGGACCCCGCCGAACTCGAGCACCGGTGGCCCCGCCATGCCCCTCGCACCTCCTCTACGCCGAGCTCCAATGACCAAGCCCAGAGATGGCGCTGTCGCTCAGCCCTGCGGCCCTGAGCGGGTCTCCTCTTCCCGCCCGCCTCCTGCCTTTCCCACCTGCACGCCGAAGTCCTCGCTCGGCCTCTAGCGGCCGCGCCGGGAGCTGCTCACCCGGAGAACTGTGCGAGGGGACCTATTCATGAGGCTCACAGGAGTCCGCAGTGGGGCCCGTGTGCTGAACAGAGGAACAGCCGCTCGGCCCCAGAAGCTGAAGCGACAGGACAAGAGGGGCCAAGGAGACAGCGCCAGTGCGAGGCCGCTGGCCTTGGGGAGCCCCTAGTGTGCGTCTGCCTTGCAGATCTGGAGAAGCTGCAGTCCGGGGTCCACAGGCGATGGCAGCAAAAGATGCCCAGACCCCGCAGAAGGGAGCTCTTCAAGTGTTGTCGGACTTCACCGCCGTCCCTTTCATTCCATCTGGCTGCAAGCCGATTGGATGGAGCCTCCCCCATCAGGGGAGCCTTCCCTCCCTTTGCTAGCCCACATGCCAATCATCTCACACCCAGAAGTGTGCTGTGCTAATCTGGGAGTGACTCTTAACCCGGATAAATTCACATTGTCAACTTGATTAACAGAACTCTGGTCTGACCCTGGCCTACCCCCTAGACAAGCTCCTCGGAGTCAGGAGCACAGGGCCCTGGAGCACAAGGGATGGCCAGGGAGGGGAAGGTCAGGGAAGGACCACAGAGCCAGTGAGCAGGAGGGGAGCTCAGCCAGACAGCGTGGGAGGAGGCAGCACAGGTGTACTGCTCAAGGGCCCAGCATGTGCAAAGGTCCAGCACAGCTGAGAGCCTGGCATGAAGGCCCAGAGCAGAAGGAGGGGACACAAGACCTCAGAGGACCTTGCATGCCATCAGGTGTTTGGACCTGATTTGGAGGCTGTGGGGCCAGGGGGTGTCAGAGCCACCTCAGCGTCTCAGGTCTCCTGTGTGCTGTGGGCACGGAGTGTAGAGGCGGGAGTGGGCAGAGGCAACAGGAACAGCTTGCTGCTCTAGACTCGAGGTGTCGCTCCTCCTGCCCCTCACCCTGACACGCTGAAGCCCGGGACTCGGACTTTCTGAGCTTCCAGGGCCAAGAACTGTGTCACTTTCACTGCTGCCCTTGCATTCATGCTTTGCAGGGCCGCAGAGGATGTGGGCCATGCCAGCGGGGCGGGGCCTTGGGGAAGAAGAGTTTCCTCTTCTGACCTGGGTGCATGCTGGGCTCCTGCCCTAAGGCCGACCCCAGGACCTCAGTGCCTGTCCTCACAGGACACCCTGGAGAGGACGCTGGGCCGGGTGCACATGGCCAAGCTGATCGCGTGCCTGCTGACGCAGATCCAGGAGGAGACCAAGTGCCGCTTGGCCGCCATGTCCCGAAGCCTGGACCTGCTGGCCGTGCAGGGGACGCTGTCTGGGCGGCAGAAGGAGGAGCTGCTGGCCCAGCAGCACAAGGCCTTCTGGGAGGAGGCAGAGCACTTCGGCCGAGGTGAGCGGGGGGGCGGGGGCATGATCCCGGTGCGCCCCCGGTGCGGTGGAGGAGGTGGGGGGGCGTGGCCCGGGTCACCCAGCACAGGCTGCCACCCCAGCCTGGCGTCGCTCTCCGTGGAGCAGAGCTGGGTCGGGGCAAAGGAGGGTGGAGGGTCTCTGCCAGACAGATGCAGGAGTGCCGGGGCGTGAGCGGGAGCCTGGGGAGAAGCCGCACCTTGTGCTGGGCTGCCGCCCCTCCCCCAGCTCCTGGCCCCAGCGCCAGCGTTAGGGTGGGCGGGGCGGGACCCAAGACTCTGCGGACACTTGCGCTTTTGCTGAGGCCGCCCAGCTGGTGGAGCCCACAGGGAGAAGCCCGGGTCTGTCAGCTACGGTCCACTTCCTCTCCCCTTGGTGGAGCGCCGGTCCTGCTGGGGAGTCACTCCCCTACCCTGCGGCCCTGTCACCCCCAGAGTTCCTCCAGCGCAGCAAAGACCTAGCCCAGGCATCTCTGGCTCGCCAGGTAGAGGGGGCAGCCAGGCTCACACTGGCCCACGAGGAGGAACGGAGGAGCTTCCTGGCCAGTTCCCTGCCGACCCAGGACCCAGAGGGGTTCCTCAAGGTGAGTCTGCCCTGGGTGCATGCAGCTTGAGCGGATGGGGCTGAGGGTACATCCTTGTGCAGCTGAGCCACTGGCACCGGGATGGGGACGGCCCAGTTGGAAGACATTCTTGGCCTTGTCTAGGAAAGGGACAGGAGACCCACAGGAGGGCAGGAAGCAAGAGGGTAGGAGGTCAGCTGGGGCCGGCTTGGGCCGGACTGACCCATTTGGCTGCTCTCAGAGAAGGCAAAGAGCTCTCGGTTCAGTCTGTGAGTATCCCAGACTCAGGAGGGGCTGCCCATCTCTGGCTGTCTGCACAGGGTAAGGACTGGGGCCACCAACCCAGGAGTGGGCACAGCTCAGATGCATTGCTGTCGGCCCGTGATCAAAACACAAGGGAGATTTTGGATCTTAGGAACTGGTACAGGAAAAGACGCGTTGCCATTAAGCCTCCTCGCAATCCTCCCCCTGCTTGGGACACTTACCCTGTCTTTTTTGACACTTTCTGAAGCAGCTCTGAAAGTCCTCTTTCGTGTGCATCTTTATGGGGTGTGATCAAAAACACGGTGCATGCTGCTGCCCAGCGTCACCTCATAGAAAGGCGGCTCCCACAAACATGCTGCCGTGTCCTGTCCACCTCAGTCACACAGCTGGCCCGGGTGCTTCTGGCTTCTCCCAAACTCCAAATGAACACAAAAGGTGAATGTTGGGAATCTATTGAGGACATAGAGGCAGCCACGACGGGGCAACTAAGACAAAAAGAGGACTCCAGAGCTGCCGCAGGAAGCGGTGACAATGATGGGATGGGTGTTCCAAGCAGGGGGGAGGATTTGGAGGTAGATTAATGCCATTGTGTCTTTTTTTTTTTTTGGTACTGGGGACCAAACTCAGGACCTTGCACTTGCAAGGCAGGTGGCTGCACCTCTGAACTAACTCCCCGGCCCAATATTCTTTTAATTTAAACACTCACCATACTTTTTAATTACACTGCTGTTTCCTCACCCTGGCCCTTGCCTTCCTCATCTGAAAGGGGGGTGACCACATCTGTGTCACAGCTCTTGTAGGACCCTGGGCCCCAGTGAGGGGCGGCTCTGCCTCGCGGAGGCCCCTCCAACCCCTCCTTATCCTTTGGTATAGCTCTTCCCGGCCATGTGTGGCAATGTGGTGTGGAGAGGGTGGAGGCCAAGGGCCTAGCATGGTGTGGACGGCTGCACCCTGGACAGAGGCCACAGGGGCCCCAAGCTGAGCCTCTCATAGGGCCCCTGGCATCCCCAGAGACACAGCCAGTGTCTTCCTACAGCATCTCCTCCAGTCCCTTCCCATGTGGAGTCCCCCAGGTGCCCACACCCACTGTGCCCTCTGCCGATGCTGGGTGTGTGCACATCCCTCCCCACCCTGACCTCTGACCGTCACCCTGCTGGGCTCCTCAGGTCCTCCCTGGGCTGGGTGAGGTCCACAGCAGAGCTGCCGCAGTATCTCTTGGTGGCCAGGGACCAGGACAAAGCAGTGGGTACCTGGTGGTGCCTTCTCATGCTGGGTGTGAGGAAAGCACGGCCTGTGGGTCTCCACATGGCAGGTTTGCTGGTCGTGGCCTTGTCCACAGAAGCCATGTGACAGTCCCGTGCCTCAGCTGCCCTGAGTCTAAATCAGGTGGACCCCCTGCCCCCCTGAGCAGCAGGGCAGGCTGGGGAGAATTCCTAGAAAAAGCGAAGCCTGCAGCTTGGTGTCGGATTCAGTTCCTGTCTGAACCGCAGGCTTTCCACGAAGTCCTGGAGCGGCAGCAGCTGACGCAGAGGGACCTGGAGGAGCAGGAGGAGGTGAGAGCCACTGAGGCTGCAGCTGCACTCTGCCAGGTAGGTGGCCCCAGCCAGGACGTCCTCTGGGTCAGAGACCCCAGTCAGGCTGAGGTCAATCTGCACTTAGGCGGGGTGACCAGGCAGGCCACCACCCCCAGCAGGGGCCTCCCCAGCTATGCCAGGAGCAGGAAGTCGACCCACTGTGTGATCAGGGGAAAGCGCAGAAGGTCACAAGTGGCGGGGGCCAGCGGGTTAGGCAGCATGCAGAGCCGTGGGCACATAGTGGGGAGGATGTGACCAGGGCCTGTAGTGGGGACAGCACCTTGAGGGAGGGTCCAAGGGCCTGGTCCAGCATCCTGGCTCTTCCCCGGCCTCGGCTCTAAGTGTCCCCGACTGTGCAATGGGGACGTGACCGTTCTTTTCAGCAGAGTTGTGTGCACAACTGAACACCTGGAGCCCTGCAGTGGCGGCTGCACTCCGGACACCCCAGCCACGTCCTGGTGTGGGCCCAGGAGTGAGGGCGGGGAAGCCTGGAGGAGGGCAAGGCCAAGGACAGCCGCCTGCCGCCAGGGGCAGGGACGCAGGCGGGAGGAAGAAATCACCCTCGCCGTGCTCACCAGCGTGAGCTGCCCTACTGAGATGCCACAGACAAAGCTGGCGCCTGCAGCCCCAGGGGCTGGGTGCGGCCTCCCCTGTAAGGTTGGGTGTTTTCAATTAAGGAAAAAAAAAGATCAGCTTGCAAGCTCACAGGTGTTTCACATATTACCCATGGGTTGGGACATTTTTCACAACTTAAAGAAGGATATCTGGAGAAAGACGGGTTGGGGAGGTGGGGTGAGACCCAAAGCAGGACAGCAGGGGCCTGATCAGCCGGCCTGCAGGCCCAAGCGCCAGTTTTAACTGTGGAGGGGAAAGGGCCCTCCTAGGCGTTTTAGCAGGGAGATTCAGGGAAGATCCGAGACGTCCACAAATAACTCACCTACGCGTGGAAGGCAAGAGGAGCTAGTGGGCTCAGGGGTTGGCACAAGGTCCAGATGGCGGCACAGGAGGCTTGGGGCCTAGGGGAGGCACCAGAGATGGACGGCTGGAGTGAGCAGGGCTTGGACAAGGCTGGGTGGGGTGTGAGCGCCAGAAGACAGCAGGTGTGTCCCAAAACCACTTGTGTCCGCGTCCCCATGTGCGTGTTTGTGTGTGTATCATGTGAGGTGTGTTTGTGAGTGTGTGGTCCCTGTGTGTCCCGGGTGCAGAATGGTGCCCATGACTGGTGTGATGCTCACCACAGGAACTGTACTGCAGCACCATGGACACCTTCCAGTGGATGGCAGACACCCTGTTCCTGCAGACGCTCCCGGGGGTCAGCGGCCTCCCCAAGACAGAGTGCAAGGCCCTGCAGCAGGCGACGCAGGAGGAGGCAGCTCGGCAGCTGGGCCACTTGGACCGTTTCCGGAGACAGCAATGGGGCCTCCTGCAGGACCTCCTGGAGCAAGACAGGCAGGTGGGTGCCTCGGCCTGCAGGCTTAGGAGCACAATGAGGGCTTTCTTGTGTGGCATCCCCAGTGCTGAGCCAGGTGGCACTTCGGAGGCTGGTGACATGAGGGGGTCGCAAGATCAGAATAAGACAAGAGTTTATTTGCATCAGAGTGCACTGTCAAGAGGCACAGCAGGCAGGTGAGATTAGGTGCAGTTGAGAGATTAGGATTTCAGTGAGGCTTTGAGAGGATAAGGCAGAGGGTCTGGGCAGCCATTCTGGGTGTCTCAGGGAGGATCCTGCTGGGTCACTTAGCTCCGGCTGCTGCTGCCGAACACTTGTGTTGTGTTTGAAGTTCTACATTAGAGGTGTGAGCTGGCAAGGCCACTGACCCTGGTCTCAAAGAAGCCCTTCAGCTTCAGATAAGGATACCAGGCTCGTGACCTCAGAGAGAAGATCATCAAGCCCCCCAGGGACCCCAGAGGGGTCCTCAGCCTTATCCCAGCCCTGACTATAGGTGACCCCATGGCAAAAGGGACTTTGTGATGAAGTTAAGGATCTTGGGATGGCAAGGTCCTGCTGGGTGGTCCGGGCGGCCAGATGTCCACGCGAGGGTCCTACAGGGTCAGAGGTCAACCTCTATGTGTGAACAGAGGCATGAGTGGAGCAGCAGGAGCCTGGTGTGCTGGCCGCTTCTAGAAGCTAGAAGGGAGGAGGGACAAGGAGACAGATTCTCATCCAGGGCCTCCAGAAGGAGCCAGCCCTGCAGTGCCCTGACTTTAGCCCAGGAAGAGTCATTTCAGACCAACTTCCAGAACTGTAAGGAAGCAAACTTACATTGCAAGCCACAGGGTTTGTGGCAATGAGTTACAGAAGCAATAAGAAACTAATGCAATGAAACGTTAAAACATGTTAAGTAAAAGAATCAACTTCCAAGTGAGGCAGATACCCAAACCACGTGACCTCCCTTTCTCCCTTGCTTTCTGCACCCTAGAGGCTGACACTACAATGCTTAATACCCAGGATGCTTTGCAGTTGGCAGCAGCCAAATGACACAGCTCTGACCCATGAGACATAGTGTGGTAACTGCAGAAGATTCCTCATTCCTGATGGCGCAGCTATGCCTTGTGAGCAGCACTACTATATCCCAGAGCCCTGCTCTTCCCGCCTAGAATGTGTGTTCCATCCTTGCCTGACTTAGACTCAGTCAGCCGAACACACCGGAGCACACAGACAGCCAGAGTTGCAAGAAAGTGGGGAAAGAGCCGCTGCGCCTGCCATGGCCCACCCACTCCTAGGTGCCTATTGTAAGAACAACTCCTATTTCTTTCCTTTATGTCTTTGCAATTCTGGGGCTGGAATCTAGGACCCTATGCATACTGGGCAAGCATTCTACCACTGAGCTACACCCCACACTCTCCTTCCATAGGGTTTTCAGTTGGTTATAAAAAAGCTGCAGCCTGTCATAGAGGTTCATTGGTACTGTTTATTGGCGCTGCAGAAAGTACACAGGAAGTAGAGGAATAAATTATGCAAAGATCAGGCACATGGTCCAGTAGCCTGTCAGTCTGAATCCTGCCACAGGTAACTTGCCCACCTCCTGCATTTGGGTGCAAGTTCTTTGCGTACAGCAGCTCTGATTTTCCTGTACACATGCCCTCCTTCAGAACCCAGAGCTGGGATGTGGTAAGGGTTCAGGAAAACTTAGCTGCATTTCCAGCAACATGGTGTGGCTTGGAAATGATCACAGGGTCATCCAGATCCCATTCCACCAAGGGATCTAAATGGAGCTGAACTCATCCCAGATCCTAGGGCTCAAAGCACTCAGTTGCCAGTTGCCAGTCTGGGAATGGGGCACCATTTCAAAAGCTCTCCAGGTGAGAATATTGCAAATGGGTGTGAGGGCCTTTAGAGGCCACTGGAGGTTTTCAAGGTACCCCACCCACCCAATCTTGGAGGCTCAGGGTGTTGATTTGAGTTTGAACACATGACAGGCTGGTGACAGCTGGTTAGCCGACCCCCTACTACTCTGTTGTGTTTCATGACTTGCTAGAAGTCTCCAAACACCAGCTTCTGCATAAAACCCAGGGATCAGAATGCTCAACAGGTGGCTATGCAGTGATACATGTTATGATCTTCTGCACAAAGCCCATTTAAATACTTAATATTATTGATCCTAAAACAAATCCAGAATTTTATTTCTGATGAAATACCCATTGTCCTCGTTATATTTTTCTCAATGCTGATACAAAATACCTGGCACTCAAAGATAAAGGCGGAGGGCCAGGGGTTTAGCTCAGAGGTTTGGTGGCCTGCCTTGCAAGTGCAAGGACCCAAGTAAAAATTATAAAGGGGGAAAGACTTATTTAGCTCACAGTCTGTAGAGGTTTTAGTCTATAATCTGTTGGCTCCCAGGCAGGGCAGCATGGCAGACAGGCATTGCAGAGGAGAAACAGTTCATGGTGGGCAGAAGGCAGCAAAACAAGGGACCTCCACAGCTCCTTTTATCTCTTATAATTTATTTAGGTTCTTCAGAACGGGTGGCACTCACACTCTTAATCCTAGTGCCTTTGATCTTAGTGTTGACCATGAATCAATTTTAGTGTCACACACTCTAGATCCAGCCAAAGCCCCGCCAATGACTGCATGAGGCTTTGCGGCGACATCTAGACACAAGCTATAATATTCCCCAAAGACCCATGCGCATCCTTATACATGAAAGCCATCTAGGCCATCTCTAAGAGTTGCTAAGTCTTAACAGTTTCAGCATTGCTGAAAAGTCTAAAGTCTCCTCTGAGATTTAAGGCCAACACTTAGCTGTGAGCCCCTGTACAAATGAAAAGGAAGTTAAACACTTTTAACATTTAATGGCATAAGATAGACGTTTTTATTCTAAAAATACAAATAGGGATAGCGAGGAATGGGATCAAAGAAAGACCAAAATCTAGCAGGACAAACATTAAATCTCAGTTTTGCTTTTAGCATTTTTGGCAACCTGTGGCAAGTGGTGAACTCCAAAGGGCCTGGGTGGCTCTGCCCCTGTGGCGCTGCCAGTGGCTGTAGCTCCCGTGGCTTCTCTCTGCAGCAGGCTCTGTTCTCTTTGTAGTTTTTCTCAGATGATCCATGTTTTTGGCTTTTCTAAACTTCTGGGGTCTGTACTGCACCTTCGGCTTCATACTCACAACTTCACACACGGGCCTCTCGGAAACACCCTGCCCAGCCTCCCGGGCCTTCTTCTGAGATCTGGGTGGAAGCCTTTTTGCCCCCCAGTTCTTGCATTCTGCATGCACCTAAAACCAGCACCGTATGGGTGATGCCAGGGTCTGCTGCCAGCTGGAGCGGCAGCCAGGCTTCCTTCTCTCTTGGCTGTAGGGGTCGAGGGCCTATGAACCAAATTCCAGGGCACAACTTCCCTAGGCCACTGCCAATCTGTAACATGCTGCTCTGGGGCGTTTTTTTTTTTTTTTTTTTTTTTTTTGATACCAGGGATCATACTTGGGACCTTGTGCTCGCAAGGCAGGCAGCAGCACCACTGAGCTAAATCCTGGGCCCTGGGCCTTTCTTTTTAAGACAAAGTCTTTTACCTTAGCAACTCTTGACTCTGTAGAGGCTGAGTCCTGTTGGGGTTCTTGATATCTTCGGGCCATCTTTTTGTTGTCTTCTTTTGAAATACTGGGTTTTTTTTTCTTTTCAGCGATCAGTTTCTCCTCTATTCTATCTTTGCAGGCCTAAACTTTCCAGGAGCTTCCTTTCTGGCCAAACTCACAATTTTTTAAGTCATCCTGCTGGGCTCTTTGCCCTTGATTCTCAACACAAATCTGGCTAAAAAGACCCCAACAGAAGCCATGATACCGCCTCAACATTAGACTGCCTTGAAATTTCTTCTGCCAAATTAATTAGTCAACTCCCCTTAATCTCAGTCTCAGGCAAAGTCCCTGGACAGAAGCAAAATGCAAACAAACTTTCTACCAAGGCATAACACACATCGTCTGGAGTCCAACAGCAAATGCAGTGCTTCTTCCCAGCAGAAACTTCCTGAGGTTGGTCTCTACTGACAGAATTTCTATCAGCCTTCTGGTCTTCTGAGCCCCGGCCAGAATCTCCCATCAAGTACAGCCTCAGGCATTCCAGCTCTACTTTTGCAGCCCATGTCTCCAAACTTTTCCTAACTTCCCACCTCACAAGCCAGCTCCAAATGTTCCCAAAATACATGGTCTGGTACAGACACAGCAACAACCCCACTTCTCTGGTATCAAATTCTACCTTACTTACTTTTTTCTCGTTATTGAGACAAAATACCTGACACCCAAAATGTTTTTTTTGTTTTTGTTTTTTGAAACAGAGTCTCACTATGTAGTTGAGACTGACCTGGAAGTCACTATGTAGCCCAGGCTAGCCTCGAACTCATGGGGATCCTCCTGCCTCAGCCTCCCAAGTTCTAGGATTACAGGCGTGCGCCACCACACCCGGCCTGCGACACCCAAATTTAAAGAGGGAAAGGTTTATTTAGCCCACAGTTTTTAGAAGTTGTAATCTATAACCAGCTGGCTCCAAGGCAGGGTGGCACGGCAGACAGGCATCAACAGAGGGGAAACGGTTCACGGCAGGCAGAAGACAGCAAAGCAGCAAGGGTTCTTTCTCTTGTATGTCATCCAGGCCACTTAGGGCAGGCAGCACTCACACCTAGCACTGCACCATGAATCAATCCCAGCATCACACTGGATCCAGCCCCCTCTGAAAAAGCCCCACCTATGACCACATGAGGCTTTGGGGGACCTCTACACATATGCCTTAACACCCACAATTCATCTAAAACATTCTGGTTAAATTATTCAGATGGCAGATTATGCGTAGTTCTTTTCTATGCTTTATGTTTTTACTTGCTAATGAGTGTAATGCTGTGAATTTTTCTTGGCTCTCAGGGAGGTTTCTCAAGGGAAGTTTTGCACTCAGGAAGCAAGTGGAAGAATTAATGACCTCATCAACTGATTAAGTAGCTATAACCCGAGCTGCTTTCTGGAGGTGCCTATGTCATGGTTAATCTACCGATTGATTGCTTAATTGCCTTAAATTGTCAGAAGATATTTATGGCTCCAGGTTTTCTCTCCCTTGCTGTATTCCTTGTTGATAAAAAAAAAAGAAAAGAAAAAGAGAACTTGCTGTGGTTCAGATGAGCGTTAGTCATCAGAAGAAAAGCAAAACTGTGGGTATGAGAAGCGGCACCAGACATCATCTGTCTTTTCCAAGTTGTATTTTAAAGAGGCCTGGGAGACTTTAGAGGCTGTTTTGCAGGAAGTTGCTATACATGAGGGACTGTGCAGAGATGGCACAGAGCAGGCGCTGGGCCATGTTTGTGAGTGGAGATCCGCTCCAGTGAGGTGTGTGGCCTCTCCCCATCCTGGCCCCTGGTGCCCGGGTCAGGGTCATAGCCGGAAGGACTTGCAGCTGCGGTGACACTTGGGAGACTGAGATGGGGACTCCCCTGCTTAGCTGGCCAGACCCCTGTGCTCTCGAGGTCCTCAGCAGGGGTCTAAGGGATGCAGCCTGAGGAGGGCCCCGTGCTGGGCCCTGCAGTGGAGGAAACAGCTGTGCAGGGACCGCGGGAGCTGGAGAAGCCAAGGACAGGGCATCTGCTGACCCGCGGGAGGAACATAGGCTGCCCGCCTTTGTGTGAGCCCCGTAAGACTCCTTTCAAACTCCTGAGCCCCAGTCTGGCTTGTCCTAATCCACCAGGTTTGTGCTCGTTTGCTGTGACAGCCACGGGGAGCTAATACACCGCTGTGATGAATGCTGTGGGACAAATATTCCCCCAACCAGCAGCCTTAAACTACACATTCATCATCTCGGTTTCTGTGGGTGGGGATCCCAGCCCCAGCACAACTGTTCCTCCTCTCCAGGTCTCCCTAAGGAAGCATCTGGGCACTGGGGAGATAGGGGGTCTTTCTCGTCCAAGGCTCTGTAGAGCAGAATCTCACCCAAGCTCACGTTCATGGTCCCTAGGACAGTGCCGAGGTTTCCATCTCCAGCTCACACTTTGCTCCTCAGCTGGGCTCTCTGCGTGCAGTGTCCCCTAATGTTCAGGGCTGGGATTTAGCATGACTCAGACAGAACCATCCCCTCCCTGTTGCCTGCTCAGTCCACAGCCAAACTGGGGCCAAGTCTCAGAATTGTCCTTGACCCCTGCTTCCTTTCACACCCTACATCTCATTGACGGGAAGTCTCCCCTAGCTGCAGCTCCAGACTAAGCCAGGAGGTAGCTACCTCCTTCCCCACAGCCTGGCCAAAGCTGTCCCACCTCCAGCCTGGGTCACTGTAATGGGGGCCTTTGGTGTCCTTCGATTCTTAGTGCCCAGCCACAGTGATGCTTTGAAAACATTCCACATGCTGATCATTTTTAGGATTTGCGTTTGAAAATGTCTTAATATGCCTTGAATTGAGATGCATCTTAGTTGAAATGGTACTGCCTTTCTCTCTTATTGGTAACTGGAGAATTGGGCATCTTTCGTTGTCAGCACTGCAGATGTGATAAAAGACACCAACTCATACCACCTCACTTCCCTGCCCCAGACCTGCAGTGGCTTCTCATTCTGCGCAGATTAACCGCAGGTCCTCACTGCGCCTTACAAGGCCCCTGGCTCAGGTTCTGGCTGTCCCCCAGCCTCGCCTGCTCATTCTCTGGCTGACTCTTCCCCTGCAGCCTCGATGGCCCCCTCTGACCCTGCATCCTGCTCCGGTGTCCACGCCTCTCATAGCTCAAGACCCATCTTGACCTCACTTTTACACCACATACCTCCCTCCCCCAGAGCCCAGTGTCTCCCCCGCTTGTGGACTGCAAGGTCCACTCCATCTGGAGCCCTTCCTGCTTTTTGGAGGATCACCATTGAGCCTGGAGCACTCCATGGATGTTAGTGCCCTTTCTTTCTCCCCACAGTATGTGAAAGTTTGGAACAAAAAGCAAATGTTTGTGTCTTAATTGCTTTCCTGGTGGCTGTGACACAACACCGGATGCCCCGACTTAAAGGGAGAGGTTTAGCCCACGTTTGAGAAGTTCAGTCCCGGCATGGAAGGGCCTGGGCGGAGGAGGGAGGCTGCTGAACTCATGGGGCTCAGGAAGCAGAGGTGAAGGGAGGAGAGGAAGCTCCAGGCCACGCCCAGGGACCGCCTCTCCCCACAGGCCCCGCCCCAAGCCAGTTGTAACCCATGCCTGTGAGTGTGTGAGGCTTGGGGGACATCTTGATATAAACCATGACACTCTCTGAGGCACAGAAGACCTGGTGGTGGCCAGAGCCAGCACCCAGCCCAGAGAATCTTGCTGCTTCCAAACTTGGGCTACCAAACTTGCACGTTACCATGCTTTGCTTGTTTGTTTTGTTTGATCTTTGTGGTACTGGGGTTGAACCCAGGGCTCTGCACTGAGCTCCATCCCCAGCCCTTTTTATTTTTTATTTGAGATAAGTTCTCACTAGATTGCCCAGGCTAGATTTGAACTTGCAACTCTCCTGCCTCAGCCTCCCAGGGTGGCAGGATTTCAGGTGTGCACTGTCACACCCAGCTCTGTCCAACCACATTGAAGAGGTGGATGTGGCAGCCGCAGGCACCATGTGTCCTGGGGATCGTGGCCTCCTTGGTAATCCTTTAATTCTGTTGCTACTTTTATCTGCATTATTAAAATTTACAGCAGAGATCCACATACAATAATAATTCATTTTTTTTTTTTTTTTTTTTTTTTTGCTATTTTTAAGATTGAACTCAGGGCTTTGTACGTGCTAGCAAGCACTCTGACACTGAGCCACATTCCTGCCCTTAATTCACTTTTGAAAGAATCAAAACTGACCAGGTACACTGGCATATGCCTGTAATTACAGGCTGAGGCAGGAGGATTGCAAGTTGGAGCCCAGCATGGGCAACTCAGTGATTTAACAAGAACCTGTCTAAAAAATAAAATTAAAAAGCAAAGTCTGTAGTTCAGTGCAAAGTTCACGGAGTTCAATCCCAGCACTGCCACAACAATTTTTTAAAAGACTGTAAATTTGTCTAGAATGTTATGGCTTCCCAAGCACTTTGAGAGACTCCTGTAAGCTCCTAAGAGGAGTCAGAGCCTGATTTTAATGGAATGTTCTGGGTGAGGCAACGTCCTGCTAGGGGGATTGAGGGATCCAGTGTGTGCGTTGGGAGCACAATCCAGGATGGCCAAGTTCCCGGGGTCTGACGCACTGTCCAGCCCTGAACGCACGCATCCCACCCGCGACCTGTGTGTCCAGGGTCGTGGTGAGTCCGGAGCACACGTCTCCTGGCGATGAGACGGCCGGGGTGGGGCCTGGTGTGGCGGGAAGCAAATGTAACCCCGTCGGGTCAGAAAGCGACTTTTCCTGGCGCAGGCAGGCTAACCCGCCCGTGTCCCCAGGTGTGGCTGGAGGAGAGCGCGCTGTCCGCGGTGCTGCAGGCCCAGCTGCGCGAGGAGCAGGACAG